GCCCGATGCGGGACTCGATCCCGGGACTCCAGGATCATGACCTGAGCCGAAGGCAGTCGCTTAACCAACTGAGCCACCCAGGCGCCCCACAAAATGATTCTTACAAGCATGTCCTTGAATGCTTCAAGGAAGGGAGCCCCTCAAAAATCTTCAGGGCATGAGGTATAATAAAGGTACACGTCATCATTAACATGAGCCGTGTGAATGCTGGTCATCTCTAATTAGGAGCTGCCTCATTCCCGTGTGGTGAATATGGGAAATCCTACTAACAAGTTCCAGCCGTGCTCCTTGTGCTGGCCTCAGTCATAACCTTCCAATCTCTTATGTCTTTATCTTCTCTCCTGCTAGATTGTGGGCAAAAATAAATATGTCAATAAATGTTTGCGGAAATGAATCTTTATTACCAGAGTATTATTTGCCTTTATCTGGATCCTGGAGCCACCTTAACAATCAAAATGAATGACTCCAAAGAATAGGACTTGGCACTGTCCGTATGATACCACTCTTGCTCAGTGGTTTTATTTTTGCTCCTTGTGACTTTCTATAGATAAGGAGCTTATAGTTAGATCAGGCTTTATTACCACCCAATTCTGTCATTTTTGCAGAAATTGTGTTAAGACTTAATGTACCTGCATTCAACACATTCGTTTCTGCATTCTCATTTGAAATTGGTGACAAGAGGAAACCAAAGAGGAAAGAGGACCTCATTTTTTAAAAAAAGATTTTTATTTATCTGAGAGAGCATGAGTGGGGGGTGGGGGGCAGAGGGAGAGGGAGAAACAGGCTCCCCACTGAGCAGGGAGCCCTATACGGGGCTCGATCCCAGGACTCCGGGAGACACTTAACCAACTGAGCCACCCAGGTGCCAAGGACCTCATTTTTTAAAAAACGCTTCATTTCCATAAGCCATTTTAACTAATTGCAGAGAGGTAATAGGGGTAGAGAGTACGTAAAGAAAAAGGGGGGCAGTGGTTAATTTAAATTCCTTAACATTCTGCCGGGAGCAGAGGAGCACCTCCGTCCAGCATCTGTCCTGGTGTGCCAAAATGTCCCTTCCGCAGGTCACCCAGCCACCTGGGAAATTAGTGGGGAGGCTGTTAGAGCCTGATGCAGGAGGCTTGTATGTGCTTATCGCTGTGTATCCCCACACAGTCATTCTGGAGCTTCTGGAAGAGCCACAGAGGAGAGTTTCATCCGAGCAGGACCCTTGATATGGTTGGCGCAAGCATCAGGCAGAACAGATAGGGCAGAAGTCCTGCCTGCGGCACTCTGCTGTGCCAACATGTCTAGTTAGGTGCTATGTCATGGGAGGTGTTGGGCCAAGGAAGGTCAGCGGCACAGGGAGGGCTCTTGAAGCTAATGGACCTGCATGTTTAACAAAACAAATACTTCAACGTATTAAAAACCAGGCTGGCCATAGCAGTGCAGACAGGCGTTCCTGCCAAGAGCCCTTCTGCGGCTGGCCAGAGAACATGAGAAGCCATGTGCCTAAAGGACTGCCTTGGGACCAAGGCCTTTTCTGAGGACTCCTGAGACCAGCCTCACCCTTAGGGACACCGCCAGTGCAGCTGAAGGCCCAGGTCGCCCCTCTAGATCTGCTAAGGTCCTGACAAGTGGCTCCAGGCTCTGTGTCCTGGTTGCTCACCCTCGCATGTCATTGTGTGAAGCTCTTGTGTCAGCCTGCACCTTGGCACCACTGGCTTCCAGCTCACCAGGTATGTGCCCTTGGGGGTGTATGGCCATTGATTTCATTAACCTCTCAGTACTTTTGTAGGGTAAGCCCTGGGCTGGCGCTGTAGGATATTCAAACATGAAGGCACAGTTCAGATCTGCAGTCTAGTAAGCGGTCCCCTTTTAGGTTTGGAAAACTTAAGCACAACTCAAAGGAATCCAAGAAGCCTGAGAAGGGTACTGGAGTTGACTCGGGTATATAAAAGGGCAGTTTGGTCATGTTACGTTTGTACTGCTTAGTAATCATTCTTTGGGGGTGGGGTTTTTCTCTTTCAGCACCTCCGTAACCTCTGCCAAAGTGGCTGTGAATGGTGTCCATTTGCATTATCAGCAGGCTGGAGAGGGAGAGCATGCAGTCCTGCTGCTTCCTGGAATGTTGGGTCTGGAAGTTTTTAATGGAATTTGCATGCTGTGTAGTCTATGATGCATTCACATTATTAGATGCCAAATATTGATTATTAATTTTAGTGCTTTGCTAAATGCTTTAATATTTGCTACAAATTTAAGTGATTCAGAAAAGAAGGATAACTTTCTACTATATGTATTCTTTATTCCTTTAAATACCCAGTTTGTTTGTTTGTTTTTCCTCATAGAGTTATACTGTGTAGTTACCTACAATTTGGGAGGATGACAGGGGTCAAGGAAAGGGGTGTGGGCAGAAGGATGGATAAAGGCAGGAGATGAGCTACTGACCAACCATCCCAGTGTGCCTGGAATTGAGGGGTTCCAGGATGCAAGATTTCCAATGCTGGAAGATGGATTGATCACCCTGTTGCAGTTGATTATATGCTCAATTAAAATACGAGCTAAGAACAAGACTTAATTTAAAGCCTTTTTGGAAGTCAAAATTAGATTGGCATGAATGGAGCATAGTAAAGCCGACTGGATCCCAATTTTATCTTTCAGATAAGTAATTTACATGTAGACAGCTCAGGGCGATAATGTCCAGTGATCCAGGACACTCAAATTTGGTTTTAAGGATTTTAGTAGTTAAATAATACCAATATATACTATTTCCTTATGATTTTTTTTCTTCTAAAAGTAAAATGCTAAAATGCCTTTCCAAACTTATATACACATATATATGTGTGTGTGTGTAAAAAACATATATATGTGCAAAAAACATATATATACAATATATATATTACACATTATATACACACATATATAAGCTTTTTTAAGTAGGCTCCATGCCCAGCGTGGAACCCAGCATGGGACTCGATTTCACAACCCTGAGGTCAAGACTTGAGCTGAGGGATGCCTGAGCGGCTCAGTCGGTTAAGCAGCTGCCTTTGGCTCAGGTCATGATCCTGGAGTCCTGGGATCAAGCCCCGCATCGGGCTCCCTGCTCGGCAGGGAGTCTGCTTCTTCCTGTGACCCATCCCCATCTCATGCTCTCATTCTCTCTCTCAAATAAATAAATAAAGTCTTAAAAAAAAAAAAAAAAGACCTGAGCTGAGATCCAGAGTTGGATGCTAAACTAACTGAACCACCTGGGCACCCCTCCATTTATATTTTTGCCTTAGGTTTTCTGAATGATTTACCTGATGGTGAGAAAGGTAGATCTTCCCAGGAAGAATGGTGGTCCTTGATAATGTTAAATGATCCTGTACCATCTTAAAAAACATTTTGTAATAATAGCTAGTTTATCAAGCAAGATGTTTAGGTGGCCTGAGCTACAAGCCCTTAGAAACTAAGCGGACTTTAAAAACTAAATGTGGACTTGCTCCTGGACTGGGCTCCTTGAGAGTCTGGCCTTCCGGGCCACACGCAGTAGGTGTGTGCTCACAGTGGCCGTGACCTCGTGGGCAGGCTGGGAACTGCCAGTCAGTTCCACTACAGGCTCAAGAATGTGGTTCTGCTTGTTACCATGCTGCTGTTTGAAACAAGCTAATCTGATTTCTTCCCTCCACACCCTGCCCTCCCCCTCATTTTAGAGTTTTAGTTGAGTTTTCTGGTGTTCACTTATAACCAGAAAATAAATCTCCAGGGCTGTTCACATTAGCCTAGTAGAAAACACCTGGGAATTTGGGGCACCTGGGTGGCTCAGTTGTTAAGCATCTGCCTTCGGCTCAGGTCATGATCCCAGGGTCCTGGGATCGAGCCCCACATCGAGCCCCGCATCGGGCTCCCTGCTCAGCAGGAAGCCGCCTTCTCCCTCTCCCGCTCTCCCTGCTTGTGTTCCCTCTCTCGCTGTGTCTCTCTCTGTCAAATAAATAAGTAAAACCTTAAAGACAAAAAAAAAAAAACACCTGGGAATTTAGAATTCTACTTTGAATAACTTGGACCAAATCTCATAAATTTGTTGACAGATAATATTGAGATATCTCTCATTTGTAACAGTCACTTTTTAGAAAGAAAGAAAAAAATCACCCAGAAACATATCATATCAGTAAGTCAATTTCTATGCAGTTTCATGAATTCCTTTTTTTAAATTAAAAGAAAATTTTTTTTAAGGAAGATTAACTGGGAAAGTATCAAAAGTAGTAACACAGGACCAAATGAATCCTCAAAGTAGCCACTAGGAGGAGACAAAAGGCAGGTCTGAACACCAGGAAAGGAAGTCAGCCTCCCGGTAAATGGATTTTATCATCACAAGGCTACTTTGCTGACTGCATCCTGCTGTCTAACTTTGAGTAGAAACTAGTTAGTTTGTTTTAAAATTGTAGTTGTTTCTGCTTTTACTGTAATGTGCTTGAAATAATGAAATCATTCACCTGAGGGTAACTGAGTGGCTTTTTTTAGGAAGTGGAGAGACTGATTTTGGACCCCAGATTAAGAACCTAAATAAGAAGCTCTTCACAGTGGTTGCGTGGGATCCTCGAGGGTATGGACACTCCAGACCCCCAGATCGAGATTTTCCAGTGGACTTTTTTGAAAGGGATGCAAAAGATGCTGTTGATTTGATGAAGGTGGGTCTCTTAGGGAAGAGCCCAGAGAAAGGAGGATGGCTGGGCCTGTCTTCGTCTATTTTGTTTTTGTGTTTTTTTTAATTTCTTTAAGGGTAATACCGTGTAATTCCTACAGACAATTCAGGGAGTTCAAATAGGTATGAATTTGGAAGTAGAAATATCTCACAATCCAACTATTTAGAGATACTGCTGCTATGACTTTGAGACTCTGCCTTCCCAGCCCATCTTTTTTTTTTTTTTTTCCAATTTAGTTAACATATAGTGTATTATTAGTTTCAGGGGTAGAATTTAGTGATTCATCAGTTGCATATAACACCCAATGCTCATTACATCAAATGCCCTCCTTAATGCCCATCACCCAGTTACCTTATCCCCCCACCTACCTCCCCTCCAACAATCCTCAGTTTGTTTCCTAGAGTTAACATCTCTTATGGTTTGCTTCCCTCTCTGCTTTCATCTTATTTTATTTTTCCTTCCCTTCCCCTATGTTGATCTGTTTTGTTTCTCAACTTCCACATATGAGTGAGATCATATGGTATTTGTCTTTCTCTGACTTATTTCACTTCGCATAATACCCTCTAGTTTCATCCATGTCATTGCAAATGGCAAGATTTCATTATTTTTGATGGCTGAGTGATCTTTCATTGTATATTTAGGCCACATCTTCTTTATCCATTCATCCATTGATAGACATCTGGGTTCTTTTCATATTTTGGCAATTGTGGACATTGCTGCTATAAACATTGGGGTGCATGTGCCCCTTTGAATCACTATGTTTGTATCCTTTAGATAAATACCTAGTAGTGCAATTGCTGGATGGTAGGGTAGTTCTATTTTTAACTTTTTGAGGAACCTCCATACTGTTTTCCAGAGTGGCTGCACTAGCTTGCATTCCCACCAACAGTGCAAGAGGGTTCCCCTCCAGCCAATCTTATTTCATATATAAATACACAGTTTTGTATTGATGGCATCATACTTATACATAATGTTTTTCCAAACTACTGTTCTTTGAACAATTTGTCAAGGAGATACTTCCATGTTAATAAATAATAAGTTTATTTAAGTCTTAAAATAGTCACACAGTATTCCATTGTAGGGATGTACTGTTTTATTTCACCTATCTCTAATGGTAGATAAATAATCAAATTTTTAAGTTGCCTTTTTTTGTTATTAGAAATAGTGCAGTGAACATTGTTTTGTCCATGGACATTTTAGTTCTTTTATAAACAGTGTTGGTGTGGACACCCCTGGACCTGTCTCCGGATGCATGGGTGCAGGAGTTCCATACATATTAGGGGATGTTGCTGGGTTATAGAAGATGCAAATGTTCCTTTTACAAGATAGTGCCAAATTATTATCCATGCTACTTACAGCCATGTATAGTCCCATCAGTATCTTGGACTGATATTTGTTAAATCTTTCAAATTCCAGGTCATTCTGTTTTTACTTCTAGGCAGCATCTCTCCGATGTCATCTTTGTTCAGTTTCCCTAACATGTTTTCAGAGCCTGGTTGATTTAAGGACTAACATAACCTCCCCGTGACACCATTCTCCTCCAGCCCGTTCTTCCCACAGTTGCAGTCAGTGGTTTTATCAGATGTGGTGACTTCATTCCATCCAGTAAATATCAAGTTTCCCTCTCTAATCTGCATTACTATTCTCAAAGCCTTCGCTCAGGCATGGGTGTGCATGCACATGTTACTTGTCATTTCCAAGGACAGCTGATCGCCACTGTTTCCAGAGTCTGTCCAACCAGAAGATGTAGTTCCCTCATTAATTCAAAACAATACTATGTACTTAGGGGTTTTTTTTAAATTCAATTTAATGAACATATACTGCATTATTAGTTTCAGAGGTACTTAGGATTTTACGACACTTAGATTTACACCAAAACTAATGGAGAAAAAAACATTTGCGTCATCAAATGGTGGATTCTAGGATTTTTCTTTAATTACCAACAACTGCTCCAAACCTCACAGCTGTATTGATTTTGACAACTGTCAGGGGATTCTTTTAGCAGAGAGGAGCAATCAGCTGTGCTATGTGCATTTCACTGTATTCCTCGCAGACGCTGAAGTTTAAGAAGGTGTCCCTGCTGGGCTGGAGTGATGGTGGCATTACATCTCTTATTGCAGCTGCAAAATATCCATCGTTCATCAACAAGATGGTGATCTGGGGAGCCAATGCCTACGTGACTGATGAAGATGAGAAGATTTATCAGGGTAGGTCTCACTAATCGGAGATGTCATGACAAGTGGTACCCTTGCTCTCCCCTTCTCAGGACTTGCTTCAATCCGTATTGACAAATCCTGTCTTGTCTGCGTCCAGTTCTCAGCTCTGAGGTAGGAAAAGCCATGAGTTCTCAGAAAAGTCCTACAGTTTAACCAGCCTGTGTTTTAACGCTTCCTGTTTGCAGGAGCGACACCTTCGTGACTCAGGAAAAGGTCCTAGAAAATCCGCGTTCACATTTCCGACTACTGATAGTGAACTTCAAGGAGGGAGGGCTTGATGGAAAGTGTTTTTCATAACCTCTTTTTAAATTATGGGAGCGTAAAAAGGAATATTGTTTGAATATTCAAAGGAATATTGTATTCAAAATTATGGGAGCGTAAAAAGGAATATTGTATTGAAACCTTATATTTTGATAAAGAAATTCTGTGCTGTTCACATTTCATAAGGTTGTCCTTGAAGCTTATCTTTGAAGGTTTTAGAGGCAGAAGAACGGGGACCAGCAAACTTAGAGCCTGTGGGCCAAATCCAGCCCATCTGTTTTTGTAAGGCCGGGCACAGATGGAGAAGGCCAGCAGCGGCAGCCCTAGAGATCAAGTGGGGCGCCCCCTCCATCCCCGTTTCCTCCTCTGTGCCCAGAGTTGCTGCCCAGGGCATGTGCTGGTAGCAGCTTACAAACTGGTGACTGCTGGCTCTTCCCAGGCACCCAGCTATGGGATTGCAGGCAGCAACTGAGGACTCGCTTAGCCTCCAGCAAGCTGACCAAATTGAAACTGCTTGGCTCTCGGGAGGAGAGGAGGACACATCGGGATCTCGGGGTGTGGCAAAAAGCAAAACTGCCCTGGGGTACCCCCCCCCCACCACCTGCCGGCCTGACCCACCAGGACCCTCTTCTTCAGTCTGGTGGCTTTTGATCTCAAGTATGTCTCTCCTGGATCCCAGATGGTCTGGTCCAGGCAGTTGGGGTCAAGTGGGTCAGAAGTCTCTCACCGTAAATCTACCTACCTAATACCTTTGATTTGCCTCTTGGCTCGCAAAGCCAAAAATACTCTCTGGCTCTTGACAGAAAACATTTGCAGACCCAGGCACTAGAATATGACAAGTCTAGTTTTATTTAGTTAGTTCTGCAATTCACCTGATTTAAGTAAGCCACTAAATGGCAGTGTTCTGTTGTAGAATCTTAGTTCTTTGCACTGTTTGGGAAAGGACAATGAACCTCTTAAATGATGAGTCTGAGGCAGTCACCCATCCTAATCGGTACTCCTGCTTGTCCTTATTGTATCCGTACCAGGTTCACAGGAAAGAAAATACTGTAAATGGAATGGAAATGCCTGTGACAATGACTGCCCTCTCTGATAATTCCAGTGTCTGGGTCATCTTAGGGTCAGCATTTGCTGGTTGTCTTTTCCCTTGAGAATTGGTCAGATCTGCCTGTTTGGGGATTGTAGAGTTTTTTCATTTATTTATTTGTTGGTTTTATATGTTGGTTAATTTGGGATTTTTTTATTGTGCTATGTTGTGAGACTCGGTATCCTGTTAAAACTCTGATTGTTGATTTTTTTTTTTCTTGGCATGCCATCGGCCTGGTTAGGTTCATACTGTAAATTCTGTTTAGCCTTCTGTGGGCTGTAGTTCCAGCATCGGGTCCATTCTCGAAGCCTGTGCTATGCTTCTTCATGTCTGCCCCACACAAACCCCACTCAGGCTATGCTGGGATGTAGGTGGTGGTTTATATGGTAGTTCAGTTCTTGACGCTTATGCTGTGTGCTTTTTTGGATCTTCCCCATGCATGGAGAGCTCAGGGGTGATCCCAGGACTTGAATCATTTCATTAGTTCATATGCAGAATTAGGGACCCCCTTCAAAGCTCCTATGACCAGAAACAGCTTTCTCTCAGAAAGACAGGTTTCAGCAACCCCCCGCTGTTGTGCTTCGTGCAACTGGAGCCATCTTTAGGGCAAAGCAGCCAGAGAAAAGAGATGGAAGAATTAATAGGGATTTCACCCACAATCTTCAGACACTAGGGGCCCCTTTTTCTGGTACCTTCGGTCAGAAAGCTAGCCTTCTCTTGGGGTTTTAGGGACTGTCTGCTGCTGGACTAGTAGTGCAGGCCCATGGCTGTGCACCTTCACAACATGGACTACGGTAGGGAGAAAGAGAGAGAGAGAAACAGTCTTCCTCAAGCAGGGCAGCCTGGTCCAGGTCCTCTGGCTAACTCTAGGGGTCTTCTCCTGAAGTTTCCACTTTCCGCATCCCCCAACCACATGTGTTTCCACTTTCTGCATCCCCCAACCACGTGTGATCCACCCCCGACTCCGTGTTTCAAAGTTGGGACTCCAAGGAAGACAAGGGAAATAAGAAACTCATCCCCTTTCTGTGTCATTATTCAAGGTTTGACTGTTCAGCCTCCTGCTCTTATACCTTGGCAGGTAGTTGCTCCTTGTTCCATCTGGAGTTCAGCTATGATCCATGGTGGTGGTGGGGCGGGGCTCACGCCAGCTTAGCCAGCACCCACGCCCAAGAGATACTGGGTACTCACTTGAGCAGACGTCTCACAGCTTCTGCTATGACTAGGGGGTGAGGTTCTCTAAACTACTATTCAGCCAGGCTCCTCCTGAGCCCCAGAGCCAGATTTCTGTCTACCAGCTGAGCACCTTCCTCTGGATAGCCTGTAAGTCTGTCAAAACTAGTGTGTCTGCATTGAACTCATTACCTCGTAACTCTTCCCACAGCCCAGCCCGTAATCTCTGTCTCAGTGAGTGGGGCCGGGGCCACCTGGGAGGCCTCCAGGGCCGACCTCTAAAGATAACCCCTTCTCTCTTCCCGCCCACCATTTTTCCTGCTTCGGACCCTTGGCCTCTGAGGGCACTTGGTCTTGCACGAAAGAGTTTCCTCACTAAGGCAAAAACCTGGTCACCGGATTCTGTGACTTACAATCCTTCAGTGACTTCAGTGACCTCCAAGCACCTGGGCCCGGCCTGCCCTGAAGCCAGCTGTGCCTTCCCCCTCGGCCTCCGTGAGCCAACCCCCGCGCCTCCATGCGCCTTCCCCTCCCCCCCACCCTCCCTGCGCCTTCTCCCCCTCCCAGCCTCCCTGCACCCTACCCCCTGCGCCTCCCCCTCTACCCGGGCCTCCCTGCGCCTTACCCGCCTCCCCTCCCCCCGACCTCCCACGCTGAACAGCTGCTTGTCCTGGAACAGGCTTTCTCCTTTGCGCCTCTCTGCCTCGGCACCTGCTCACGAGCTCGCCTGCGCGGCCTGCCCTCCAGCCGGGTCTCCTCACCACATGCGTCTTCTTCAGCCACTGTTCCGGAGCCCATGTCCTGGCGGATGCTTGTGCCTCTGGCGCTGGAGCGCTCCGCACACCCTTTCACCCGCCCGATTGTCCTGGGCGCTGTCACCCTGTCACACCTTCCCCTCAGTCATGACTGTGTGAACTCCCCACGTTCAGTGACTCTGACTTCCCTTCTTTGCGACGCACACAAACCCCGAGAAGCTCCCTCCTCACCTCACACTCCTCTTTCGCATTTTCGGCTGCCCTTCCCAGGCCCACTCCGTCACGGCCCCCTCTCGCGACTTGGGCGACCCACCGGCCTCGTGGAACCAGGGCCTCCGTGCTGCCAAGCCCCGCAGATGCTTTATCGCCCTTCGGCTCCTTGGTCATGCTGCAGCATTTGAAAATACACACCCCTCTTCTCGAAGCTTTCTCTGCCGTGGAGGTCTTGCCACCACGTCCAGAGCTTTCCCCTTATCTCTGCTTAGTCTCTGTCTTTGACACCTTCCCTGCTCTGCTCTGCCGGGCACCATCCTTAGCTCTCTGCTCCTCTTCTCATTCTTAGACCCAAGGAGCTTCCCTCGTCGCTTGGCGTCCTCAAACTCCCAAATTCCAGATATTCAACTTCGTGTCCATTTTTCTTACCTGGTTGCCCCACAGGCACCTTACATTCAGCGTGTCTAAAGTCGAGCTCAGAATCTTTTCTCCACACCTGGTCTTCCTGCCATATTTCTCACGTTGCTAAGTGACACTCGATGGAATATACTCTTTTTTCCACAAAGAATATTTTAATTATGATTTATTGAATGCCTGCCATGAGCTAATATTAACATAGCTGTTTATGACTCAACTCGGGGCTCAGACAAGCGAAGAAACCTGTGATGGCACAGCTGGGAAGGTCGGCCAGTAAAGCCCAACGTTTCACGTCTGCAGGATAGTGATCCAGCCCTCCACATTCTTTTTTTTTTTTTTTAAGATTTT